TTTTTTTTTCTCCTATCACTCCTTCTCTTTATGTCAGGACCGTGATTGCGCCCTGTCTCCAGAAGAGCTCAAAGACCTCTTTGATGTTTTTACATGCCCTGGGGTCCTGACGTCAACAACACAGTTTGTACCAATGACAATGGCTGGATCACTTACCAGGGCTATCTTTCCCAGTGGACGTGAGTGGGATATACAGTAATTTACCATTAAAATCATCGCTGTGACAAAATTAGATTTTCCTGAACTGATTTCCTTCAACTGACCATCACTCAGGTTAACCACATACCTGGATGTCCAAAGATGCCTGGAGTATTTGGGGTATCTGGGTTATTCAATCATAGCTGAGCAGGAGTCACAAGCGTCAGGCATTACAGGTGATGTGTTTGAAGTTTGGATTTATTTATTTAAACTGTTGAAGGGAAAAGCTGAGCGTGACCCCAGGTGGTCGTTTTGAGTCTTTAATGATCGACCGATGTCTGTGTTCGGTTTCCTTCAGTGACCCGGGAAAAGATGATGGACCTCAAGAAGAAACAGACTCAGCGCAGCGTTTTCCGCTGTAATGTGTTTGGTGACTTTGGCAGTGGGAAGAGTGGTTTCCTCCAGGCTTTCCTAGGAAGAAATCTCATGGTAAAATGAACACAACCAATCACTCAAGGGGTTGAACTTCAAAACACAGTCCACACAGGATTAACAATGTCAAATTACTGACCATTCTGCATCAACCGTCTAGATCTAGATTTTTGGCTTAAGACAACCTCATGTACGTTAAGCTCTGGTTGGCCACATAAAATGACATGGCGAGCTGTATTGGGCCCACGAACCTAGAGTTGACATGTTTCTTAGATGCTACTAAAATGAGACTCGGCTATATTTCTATAAAACAACCTTTTTTTCAGCACCAAAAAACAATAAAAGAGGAGCATCGATCCTACTATGCCATCAGCACCACGTTTGTTTACGGCCAAGAGAAATATCTTCTTGTGAGTATCAAAAACCTATGTCTTTATATGTGTTAATAGTGACTCGATATCAGTCTGGCAGAATTGCAACTTGGTGAATAAAATAGAAAAACAAATAGTCATTATTTTTCTCATGGATTGCTACTTTTTGTGAAAAAAACAAAACAAACCTCCTCTGTGTCCTAACCAGCTTCATGAAGTCTTCCCTGACTTTGACTACCTGTCTGATGATGAAATGTCCTGTGACATCGTCTGCCTTGTCTATGATGTCAGCAACCCTTATTCCTTTGAGTACTGTACCAGAGTTTTCAAGGTAAATAGGTCTGTGCTTCAGTGTAAAACACATGTTCCCATCACATCATCATAATTGGCTTTGTGAGCATTGCCACAACACTGTAGGTTCTGTATATTGTATTTAACAGATATTCCGGACTATAAGTCGCTCTGGAGTGTAAGTCGCACCAACCTTACAGGACTAGCAGATACTGGTACACAAGCCCAGTACCCTAACAAACATGTGAAATGACTGTATATTTTTTTATATACGTATAAGTCACACCTGAGTATAAGTTGCAAACCCACCCAAAAGATGAAAAAAGTGCGACTTAGAGTCAGGAAAATACCTCCCTGATCTGTTAAATATGCAGAACGATCAGCTCCAGAATTACAATATGTGTCTCTTCTTCAAACAGTATACTTTCTCTTCCTCACCCTCAGCAGTACTTCATGGACACTAAGACACCATGTATGGTGATCGCAACCAAGTGTGACCTGCCGGAGGTGAAGCAGATGTACGGCTGCAGTCCTCTGGAATTCTGCAGGAAACACAAAATGCCCCCGCCACAGTCATTCACCTGCGACTCAACAGCAGCTCCCAGCAGAGACATCTTCACCAAACTCACCACTATGGCCATGCACCCGTATGTATACAGACACTCAGCACAGGTGTAGTGATGTACTGTGGACTATTAGGTCACAGGATTGATAGGAATCACTGGTCCTTGAGCGCTCCTGCTCTCCGTATGTCTTGTGAATCCATTTCTGTCACGTTACCGTTGATGTTCATTCCCTGCGTCTGTTTTCAGCCACGCCCGGCTGCGCTGCATGTGCACTTGCAATCGTTGCACCTTCTGCTTGTGTCAGAACGTCCTCAACTCTGAGCTGCTGCAGACGGTCAGGGCCAAACTCTACGCCGTTGTGCTGAGAAGGTTTGACTCCAGTTTGTATTTGTTAATTCAACTGATTTTAATTCATAATCACTACATGTGTTTTCCTGGATGATAAAAATACCAGGTCTCATCAATGCAGACTTTATCTCTGGTGATTTTTGTACTCTGTATTTTCCGGACTATAAGTCGCTCCGGAGTATAAATCGCACCAGTGTCCTCTCGCGGCTGTCAGTGTGAACATGTGAAATTATATATTTTAATGTATAAGTCGCACCTGTACCCTCTCGCGGCTGTCATTGTGAACATGTGAAATTATATATTTTAATATATAAGTCGCACCTGAGTATAGGTCGCAAACCCAGCCAAAAGATGAAGAAAAGTGTGACTTATAGTCTGGAAAATATGGCAATTTTATTTATTTACAAGTTGGTTTGAGATAACACATCTTTAATCGTTTAAATTTTAAAGATGTTATTTAAAGAGCTGTTGAAGAGTAAAAATGATAGAAAGCGAGGAATTAAAAAGGAAAGATGGTGGAGCTGTAAGTGCAGGGAATTAGTGAGGAGGAAGTGAGGAAAGTTATAAAGTGGAATCGCTATATCAGTAAACAACATTTGTTTTCTGTTTGATTTAATTTTATTGAAATTATGTTTATGGTCCATCCTTGTAATGTTTAATGTGATGTCAGTTTAATTTCATATTGTTTTACTCTGTTCCTTCTCTGTTTACCAGACATATGAGCCAGGCAGATCTGATGAGCTCCACCTTCTGGCTAAAAGCAAGTGTTGGAGCCACAGTGTTTGCAGTGCTGGGCCTGACCATGTACAGAGTCCTGCTCAGACTGCGGTGATTCTCAGGCAGTCGAGGTCAAATGTTTCAGTTTTCTCTTTTCCTTTTTAAAATATTTATGGAACCCTGTTCCAGTTGTGTAGTTTAAATTGAAAAGATATGTTTTTTGTGTATAAACTGACCTCATGCCAAACTTAATTAGTTTGCATTTTAGTTTTTTTTTGTCTTTCTGTACGAAATTTAAAACAACCATTTGTTTCTTCACATATTTGCAAAGTTATGATAAATATTTATGAAATACAAGATCGTCAAAAAGCTTTGAATTAGTTATAGTGTGGTGCAAATGCAACAGTTTTTGGTTGCTTTATGTTTGAAACGACAGAAATGTCAAATTTGTTAAATTATTATTTTTTAAAAAGACCTATATAGAAATAATATTTTTATGTTTTTACTTCAGAGAAAAATAGTCAGAAAGTTTGTTGTGTGAATGTTTCATCAGTGTCAGTCATTTCTCATGTGTGTGTGCTTGTGTGTAATTGGGAGAGAGAAGAAAACTTAATTCCATACTACAAATTTTCCGCAACACACTCCTAATATAACCTTCACAACATTCAAATGTTATGCTAACTGCTCTGCCTTGTTTGCCAGCTTTGAATAAACCAGGCTCCTGTTTAAATGACATGTTGAATTTGATGTATTCATTGTTCGACAATTCATGTCACATGTAAAATTACTGTTCCCAGAACCCAGCATGTAATTATAAGAGCAAGACACAAGGGGGCAGCATTGGTTAAAAGTCATAACACGGTGAGCCAGCTACGGAGTAGGACTCCGGAAAACGCCATTGTTTAAATGTACTAACTAAACTAAACAACAAACATAATTTAAGTTGTATTTCACCAAGATGTAGTTTTAAACGTTACATTTAAAAATCAGTAAACACATTAGAAAATTTAAAAAAAGTCCAAAACCACAAGAAATAACCACGTACGACACAAAGTTTCGCTACAATCACAGACATTTCTTTATGTTCAAGACAATTAAGGGAACGTTATTAAAAGATAACAATTTTAAATATATAAACGCTTTGTTTTACAGGGAATGGTGCAGTAAACAAAAAAAGCTCACATTCAATTATTTTATTACGTTATTTACACAGTTCAGCAATACGTTGTAGTTATTTCAAATACAGCAGTTAGCAGTTGAATTATATCAGTATCTGTAGAACTAAGTCCGATTTTACCGACGACCCAAAGGTCAACAAACTCCCGTAAAACTTTTTTTCCCTCTCTCTTGGCCACAACATACTTCCACGTTGACCCAACGCTGCTACGTGGGCTTAAGAAGAAGAAAACCCTCAGGGTTTAAACACCGAGAGACTGCAATGTTTCCATGGCGATGCTCCCATAAAGAGATGATTGTCAACTTATACACTAACGACCACGTTAGTGACGTCACACAACGCCCCTTCTTTCTTGGTTACCACCCACCTATTATGTGTGTTTGATGTCTTTCCAGGTAATAGGTACGTGTCTGAAGAGAAACCGCCATTTGTGTGATTGCTGCAGTTGACCTGGAGGAAGGTAATCCTGCCCGTAAATTCCTAAAGTTTACAAGTTTGGGAACTTTAGAAATTTCCCCACCCAAAAGAATATAAAACCAGTAAATAAAGAACACAAAAAGTGAAGTTTTGGCTATATTTTAGAATTTATTTATGTGAACAAATCAATTTTCTCAATGTATCTTTATGATCTTTGAGAACCGAATATACTTTTATATTATTTCATTAATTTCATATAATTTTTCAAGTGCACAAATAATGTATTTTGGAACGTTTTTCGTGTTGTTGTTTGTCTCTATTTCCATATATTTTGCTGCTATAATGGAGAACTCTGCCGTTTCAATGGTAAGTCGACCTGACAGTGATTCTGCTACATTTCATGTATATTTTCATTCAAAAAGCTTTGCACCAGTGAAGGGGTAATATTCGAAGGGGACAACATGTTTTCCCAGAGCCCACACTAATATAAAAGATGGAGAACACAACCTGCTAAGATGATATTAGCTGTGATATTGTGACACTACAGGACATTTTCTCCGTTTCACCCTTTTTTTTTCTTCTCCAGAGATTCCCACAACTCCTGGGCAGGAGCAGAGGGCGATCCCTGCCTCCTCTCGTTCCCTCCATCACTCCGCCCATCCTCCCTCCATCCCTGTCATTGCCAATGAGGACGCATGCGACTCCGGCAGACCGGGCTACGGCGTCTCCTGGAAGAGAACCAGAAGCAGTGACTGTGGGTGACGTCCTCCTTCCTTTCTGGATTCCCCCTCTGTTCTGCTCTGCAGCGGGTAACAGAGCGTTGCTGCCCCCGCGTTGCGCCTCGGTCACCGGCACCGGCACCGGCACCGGCCGCCAGAGCACAGCGTGCCAGGTACAGTGACGCACCAAAAAAGAAATGTGGCACTTGCAGTAGTGTGTGAGTGAGTAAGAGGACTTGGAAGGGACCCCGCAGTCTGAACAGGGGGTGGGGGTGGGGGGCACGTGAGACAGTTACGTGATCGCAGCCCAGTGATCAGTCAGCGGTGATGTCATGATTTCTGTCAGATGGAGCTGCGCTCTGATCCGCTCTTGTCGCTTCTCCAAGTGAGACGTGCGTCCTCAGCTCCAAAAAAAACCAAAAAAAAACTTGGACCGCAGTGAGTGTGCGTGTGCGTGTGTCCTGGCCGCAAAGCACGGTCCTGAATAATGATGGTCCACGCAGCTGTGACACGGATGAAGGACTTCTCACTTCAAAACTAAGTACTAACCATCGCGACATCAAGTTTTCCTCCGGCAGAGACGAGTTTAGAGAACGTGCTGTGGGAATCCTCACTTTAAAATGTTGACTTATCTCCGATGATCCAGGGACGGATGCAGGAACCAGTATGAGTTTTTTTTTACCTACTATAGTCATTTAAGCATATAAGTATGGACGTGGGATTATGAATCGCAGTTTGTTGGATCGCTCCTGAGGACCGGGTCGCTGCTCTCCGCGGGTGAATAGAGTCAAACAGCCCAAGGATGACGGCAGGGATCCGGGAAGTTCCCGTCAACTCTTCACCGGCGGTTGCGGCTAACGCTGAGGGCGAGGAGATCGAGGTTTTGGAAAGTACCGACGTCCTTCCTGTGGCCATGGAGGACGTAAGTCAACTCAAAATGTCTATATGTTCTATAGAGGAGCACAGAACCACACTCTGTGGCTCACTGTTCCCAATAACCAGATGAAAACTACATGTGATGAACATCACTTTGGTCAAGGTTTATCATTTTTAAACCATGCCCACCTGTAACTTCTGGTTTCCTCCACCTCTGCCTCTCATTGACTCCTCTTTTCACTGTTTTCTCTCTGTTCTCTCCCCTTCCTCCACCTCTCCTCCTCCTCCCAGCAATGGAAGTCTCTTTTTGACAAGGTATGTGCAGATGTTGTGTGACTCTCTTCCTATTCCTTGCTCGTTTCTCGTCATTGTTTGTGGCATCAGTGTCGTCATCTAATGTGTTCATCTGTGTGTGACCTGTGAACAACCTCCGCTCTCATCCCTGTTATCACTTTGAAAGTAACACAGATGTGTTTCACCGCTGAAGCACTGCAGTGTCCCCCCTTTAAAGGTCATTACACACACAGAGAGAGAGTTTGAGAAACTGTGATGCAAAAGACAGAGTAGCAGAATGTTCTTCAGATGGATGTCACTATGGATGGTTTGTGCCATGATGCAAAGATTACACATATATATGTATATATGACCTTGAAATTCATGCGATATCATTATTACAAATAACTTGCTATGAGATTATGCCTTCAGCATCAACACAAAAGAGCTAGGCTGTGCAAGGATTGCCCCCCCCCCCTCCTCCTCTCGTCTCAGTCTTTCTTTGTAACAGCATGGCTCAACCCAAAATGACCTGTTGGACCTGCTCTGTTTATCATAATAAAATGCTACTTAGTCTAAGAGCTGGGCTAGCCTCTTAGATGAGACGTGATGCTTTAAAAAAATCTCAACTTGATTCTTTTATTTTTTATTTTTTTACAGCGACAGTATGACATTGACGAATGAATCAATTTCCCTAATGACTTTTTTTTTTTACCAAACTCATTCATGCTTTTTTTTATTTTTAATTATCTGTACTTTTACTACGTAAAGCATCCTAAAAATACCACATTGGTGATTCGTCATAATGGTATTCTTATGCTCAGTTGTGGCTATTTATAGTTGGTGTCTCCTGCTTGATTTTCATTGACTTCTCCGGTCAATAAACCAGAATCTATCTGCATAAATGAGTTAGATCTGTTGGGCCTCAGCTGCTGGAGATGACACAGACTTTACTTATTCATCTCCAGTTTGTAATTTAGGATAAATGTTATATTAGCTCCAATTCTAGCTGTAATCATTTGCCTGCTGGGAAAAATTGACACCAAATGAAACCCTTGTGGTGGCAGTGTGATCAGACCAGACTCTGGAGGTGTGTCATCTCATGCCGCTGACCCCAGTAATGCTATTAGGGTGATACATTATCCTGGATACATCGATCTGACAGGCCGGCCTCAAAGCCAACGCACACACACTCACACAAACACACATATATATGTATGTATGCAATGCAGAGATATACCCCCCCCCCAAAAAAAAAAAAAACACAGGAGAAGAAAAAACAGAAACAAGCTATTCATGCAAACAGCAGGTTGGTCTGACAGACGGTCAGTGGACCCCCTACATACACACACAAACACACACATACACAGCAGCAACACTCTGTGGTCTGCAGTTGCCTCCCTCGAGGCCCACAACAATCTCCTGAGAGGATTTGTATATATGTGTGTGTCTGTGTGCACGCAGGCGTTCGCGTCGATGTGAGGGGTTGAGTCAGAGACTCGTGTCAGGCTTACTCATTCAGCAAGACGAGGGTCCCATGGGATTATGGGAAATGATAGTTGGGGTGTGGTGCCTGTGTGTGTGCATTATTAATGGGGGTGTATTCTATAGACGGGCATTAAGTGGGCCTCTCAATCCGTTGCCTTTGAGTTTCCTCAAGTGGAGGTGGGCTCCTTAGAAAAACGTTGGGTGTCCAAATGGTGAGGTCGCTGCTCAGTCTGGCAGCAACAAATGTGCTTTCACTCTTTTATTCTCTTCCTTTTCTCTCTGCACACAATCAGTTGCTCCATTTGTCAGCGGGCTGACCTCGGTGACCCTGGGTGTTTGTGAAGTGTCTGAAGGAGAGAAATGATGGGATGCTGAAAACCAGGAAGTGATGCAAGTTAAACCAGAGTAGCAACTCATGTCATGAGGAAGGACGACATAGGCTGCTCAAAAACAAAGAGCAAGGTCCAGACCTTTGTTTACCTGAGGATAAAGATAAAGATTTGTCCTTTTCCATGTTTGTATGTGGAGATTACCCACAGTTTAGCGTACAGGTCAGGTCAATGAACGTCATTGGTCATTGGCCTCTCAGTCCAGTCCTGGCAGATGTATGAGGCACTCTGTCAAGGCCGTTTATACAGGTCAAAACACCTACATAAACATCAGCCGCCACAGATCGTTTGACTGGTTTGGATGTGTTTAACTGACTCTCTCTCTCTGTGAGGCACATTGATTTCTCTTGTGTCAGTGGAAATGGATTAACAAATCAATCAGCATCAGTGTTATCACAATAACACGATGATAACACGATGATTAGTATGTGAGCATTCATGAGAATTTATAGTCAAATCGAATAAGTAGCGATAGCCCTCTGTATGTTTTGAGGATACGTTTCCAGAAAGTGAGAGTGGACTTTAGGATGGAGGTGTTGCTTTTTGGTAAACTACAGTATGACTGGTGGGAGAGCCACGTGGTGGAGTAGTGGGTAATGCTCTTGCCTACACCCAAATCCGTAAAGGGTTTACTACTCCGTGTAAAAAACCAACAGTCAAGTGTTTGTTGCAGAACTTTATTTTGCCTTTTTCTAGAGAGTTTAGTTGGTCAAACTCAGTCCTAACTATCCAACAGTCAACTGTTTGTTGCAGAACTTTTTTTTGTAGAGGGTTTAGTTGGTCAAACTCAGTCCTAACTGTACCCACCACCCCACTGCTTTGTTGTGAATCAGGGACACAGATAGAGTTGGTGTTGAGATGTGGTCTCCCTACCTGCTGAGACCTGCTGCACAGCTGAAGCAGAAACTGTCGGCGGTCTTGCCAAGATCTCCTTTTTTTCCTGGCAAGGATAGAAAACACTTTTGATGGTACACTAGGGAATCAATGTGGCAGAATTCCTCTGTGTGATCCTGGCTTGTCTGACTATGATAGAGGGACCTGTTAGTTTCTGAAATTGTGTTCAAGACAGCGCAAAGCTGCTTAAATTGAGACTGTGGAGTCTCAACGTTAAACTCCAGTCAACAAAGTCTAGACGATCAGGTGAGGTGGAGGTGCTGCCCAAACCAACAGGAGCAGCCAGGCTTTCAGCCTCTTCCTGACGGACATTTGGATGTTAATAGAAGTAGATGAAGATGGAGCTGACTCCCCTGTGATTCTATCTGAACTCATTAAGACATTTTCATTAAATGCTTGCGTTGTTGGTTGGATTCTAGTTTTTAATATCTAAATATAATCGCACACAGCTTTCCAAAAGAAAAGGTGTGTGGGATAATATTCTATAGTTAATTACAGGTGATCTCACTCAGATGGCAGGCCATTAATTCAGTCACTGAGTGGGGCTGTTCTAAATGAGGACAAATGTTCATGTCAGTGACTTACCTTTGATGGAAATAATATAAAAGGCATAAGACTTTTTATGTTCCTGTGTTCTTGACTGTCATACTGGGATTTTGTTGTTCTCTTAAAAAATCTCAAAAGTGCATACCGTATTTTCTGGAACATAAGTCACACCTCTAGCGGCTCTCAGTGTGAAAATAACAAACATGGGAAATTATATATTTTAATACATAAGTCGCACCCGAGTATAAGTGACAAACCCAGCCAAAGGATTAACAAAAAGTGCGACTTATAGTCTGGAAAATACGGTTCTATCGTGAAATCAAGAGTCAGATATGGAGAGTAACTAAACTCAAGTCTAAATCCGATCTTGTACGTCTGACTGTCTATTTAGAAGCAAGGAGCATCATTGTGGTGGGACGACAGAATTGTCACTTCTGTTACCTCTAGTTTTATTCTTGTCTCTGTTTTCCCTCTAGCCACTGTATCTGAAAGCAGTTCAGCCTCGGTACGAAACCTTCCGGATCATGTCATTTTATATCAAATGTGAACCTTGTACAAACAGCTATCAGTTTCTGAGATTCAGACCGTCAGAATCAAAGTGCTGCGTCTCTCTGTTTGCCTTCCCCCTCACTCCCCTCAGCTGTCCCCAGAGAGGATTTTGTTGCTGTATAAGTGCTTTCCTTCTCAGTATGCAGAAAGTAAGTGAGCAAACCTCAGAATGCTTTGATTTGTGTTTCTGATCGCCTGCAACAGACACGCAGATTGAACACAGACAGAGAAAATCTCTAATGAAGCTGGGGGTGAAATTGGGTTTGGAAGATAACAGCTGGGCTCTCCTTGCCTCGTAATCAAATCATCCCAACCTCAATTTGTCATTTAGACACTCAAATATAAAAGAAGAATCCGGGTCTGTTTGGCATCTCTTTGCTGTGCGGCACTAAAGTGGCTCTTCATGTGTGGGTTTCATGATTATCTGGGGATCTACCACAGGACCCACATTTAGGATTTGTCTGTTGAACCACATTAGCATGATTACGTCACACGCTAGAATGAGGAGAACCCATTAGCTTTGAAGTGCTTCATTTTCCTCTTTCAACAGGGAGTGGGTTTGTAAACTCAAAATGTTACATCATCAAGTTTTAAAAGTGGCTTTGTTGATAGTATATTAGCATATCAGTGCAGTGATTCCCAACCACTGTGCCGTGGCACACTAGTGTGCCTCGAGAGATCATTAGGCGTACCGAGGAAAATTATCCAGTTTCACTTAATTGGGCTAAAATCTTCATTATTTATTTATTGCATATCATTTTTTGTTGCTCGTCAAAGCATGAAAGGCAGAACAATTAAGTACTCTTCTGCTAGGTGGCAGCAGATGGCTATGAAAACTAAAAAAAAGATAATCAGAGCTGTTGAAGAAGATCTTTGTGAGTGTCTTTCTTCAATTCCTGCCAGTAAATCAGTGTTGTCTTCAACTAAAAAGGCCGAGATTTTAGTCAACTATGAGGTTATTTAAACTAGAAGATTATTGTTATCTATCTGTTTTTAGGCTGAGTTTATAAGTTGGAAAAACCCTCTGTCAAAATTGGAATTTTACTCAGACTTTTAATTTCAGCTTTGCAGCAAGACTTTCCTCTCCAATGTAATATGCTGTATAATCTATCTGTTTTTAGGCTGAGTTTATAATCATTACTCGTATCCCTAGTTGCCCTCGTGTTGACCGCCTGT